TACATACTTTTGGGGTCCAGGTAGGGTAAAGGAAGGTATGGGGATGTAGAGGGGTCTAGCGTGTAGGACATTACCACCAAAATGGATAATCAAATGGACAAGAAGTTGGACAATGAAATGGAAACTGGGATTATCTAGTGATACATCGAGATTGTGGAATAGAGGTGCCGAAATAGTGTCCAATATGATTTTGATGTTTGCCTCCGGCATCCTATACCTGAATCACGCAAGGAACCTACGAACATCAAAATTGCTAATTATCTGAAAGCCAAAACACGATATATGGGGGTTTCCAGTAGTAAGGGCTCTCTTTCGGCGGTTCCTTGAACAAGGGCTATAGTTGTAGTATATTCAGGCCTATATTGGGCGCAAACCCTGAAATATAGGGATAGTTGTAGGGTGTTGTTCTTCAATAAAGGCATTCTCCAAATTTCATGGTACCATTTCAAGAGATTGGCTGAACTTCTTCAGGGCGTTGCCATTGAACTTCAGCGACGCCCTCATGTAGGTAGAACCCAACCAATACCTCCGAACCGCAATCATTTCTCTCTACTCCCTGCATGCCGGCTGCTGAGAATGGACTTCTGGGGTCGGACGCTTTGGGTTTCAAACGCGTAAGGGCCCGGGTTAAAAGCCACATAACACCTTCAAGCTCAGGGTTCAGGGGATGTAACAGTATGGCCAATCGAGAGAGGCAGTGGGTAGCCACGTTGGTCCCGTTTCGTTGCAGGGACCTAACGTGTTGCCTGCAAGTTTTGCGGAGGTTGCTTTCCCAGGAGCTCTTTTGAAAGACTCTGGGTTACGGACTGGGGCTTCGACATGCGTCAGACAGGAACATGCGCGAGCTACGCCTGAAGTCAAATCTAAAGCTTAGACCTCTACTTGGTAGTTTCCCAAAATAAGAGGACCCCAATATAGACCCCAATCCATATGATGGGACCCCAACAGAGAACCCCTCCCCTCCATGGTTATTATCCATAGTATACCAATAAAAAGGTGCCCCGAACTTTTGGAAAGCCCCCATGTCACGTATTCACAGTAGTGCACATGGCCTACCCCCTAAAACCCAAAGGCTGGGGAATATCATCGCCGGCATTGGCGATGGAGAGCTGCTTGCCGGCCTTTACCGAAGGACCTGGATTCACAGTACAGCGAGTGTTTTCAGCGTTGAATTAGGGTCCAGAACCTGATGTGTAGGGGCGTCGTATACAACTTCTGGACTTAAATCATGTGTGATTCAGGTTTCAGGTTGCCGGGCTCAGGGTTGATGAGTTGGCTTCAGTGCTGGTGTTTTTCGGTGTGACCCGCAGTCAATGTGCTAAGGCGGTCGCAGACAACGCTGCTGCGTGGTAAGCACGGAATCCGCGGTGCAGGTTTTAGGCTGGCAAGAGATGAAAGCCCTGCCACCTTCGTCTCTGTCCACAAGCAGCTGGTGACGTCACGCCTCGAAAGTTTGTAGAAATGCAGCCCTAGCACAATCTCTGTGTAATTGGCTCTTCCATGAGTTGGCGTCATGTCGTTCCAGGACGCCGCCGGACGGCTATGTGCCGGCAGGGGAGGCAGCCTACGCTGCATCCACCTTTCCCATAGGCTGCGGCGCCAGGGCTTACTTACAACTCCTTTGATGCCCCTAGCTACAATGGGATGAAAGGGGTCCCTATGAGTTATGAATGTTTGAGAAGCATCCACTTGGTCGTCCTTGGATGCGTGGAGGTTTAGTTTAGGGCTTGGCCCAGGCAGCTGAGCCATCCATCCTAGAATTGTATAGACTTGTCGCACGACGGGCAGTAGCACCCTAAGAAACAGCATTTTTACAATTCAGTCCTGAGGTTTCAAATGATCATTACAGGCATGAGTCTGAGCTCTTCCCTTAACGGCTGTCAAGGCTCACAGCCGGTAAGGTGAAGCTATAACATCGCCGTCCCACTGATTCGAGAAGGGCTGCGGAGGGGGGCCTGCAAGGGTCCCAGTTTTACAAAAACACGCCCGCATGGATGAGATCAAGTAAGCCCCGGCTTGATGAAAGAGAGGGTCAGGTGCCCAGGCTCAGCTCTCTGAGTGGGAACCCCTGCCTTGAGCGAGTGGCTGCCTCATCTCTGGTTATTAGTAGGGAACGGAAAAGATGGAAAAGGAAACGCAAACTACTATTGTAATATGGGGCTGCTGCAAGCATCCATTACCTCGGTTCCCTACTAACCCCACATGAGTCCCCAAGTGTGAGTTCCCTCTAGCGCCCATGCCGCAGGCGGAATGACCCCGCGAGCGCCGTGGTAGTGAGAGTGCTGGAGACTGTAGCAGGTACGAGCAGAGGCTAGTTCGAGGGTGTATATAGCTCATATACCTTAGGCAATTCCCCAATCATTTACAGTTGGATAATACCAATAATAGAGTTATATATATATATAGCCCTTAATATGACCCCTACTATACACTATTAATAGGTGGGGCAGGACCCAACACATTATTCAAGATTCGGGTGTGCAGACCTGCTCAGCCGCACCTGTCAGCTCAGCAAGTTACAAGGAATTATGAGGTTTATAGGGTTAAGGGTTTAGGTTCGGACGACTTCTCTTCATTTGTCCTGCGTGTTCTTGAACACTGTCCTTTTCAATCCTGCTGAGTCTGCCCATGTCATGTGAGAGTTAGAGAGCTGCATTCTATATAGTTAGTCCATTTGACGAGCTTTCATTATGGATTTGCTGATGGTGAATAGGGTTCCTCAGGATTGTTGTTGAGTTGATATTGGGGTGAGCTATCTGGGTGACCAGAACAGATATGTTATATGATGGCCAGATTATCAAATTCAGCCTCCGCCAGAGATTGCGCTTTTGCTTGCAGTGTACCTACCTAGGGCGAATGCGCGACCAGGTGCAACATGCACTGGTGGGTATGTGCCAAAGGATGGAACTCCAAAAGTTTGCAGGCCCTGTGTGGGCCGTATAAGGTTGATATTTACCAAAAAAGCCTGCGGCATGAGATTGCAGACACACCTCATGAGGCCATCTTGCGGGGCCGTTTCTGCAGGCTCCGTCTTTTCAATACACAACATGCAACCATTGGCACATGCGCCGGCGACAGTCCCGCATTGTCCCGGGAAGGCTTGAGGGGGTGAGCAAAACAGCCCTTGAGCCTGCAGGAGTGCTTGAATGACATTTCTGAACTTTGGGATGGGTGCCCAAAGATGGAGGTAAACTTTTGGGGGTCCCAATTTTTTCGGATTATAGTGCGCATTCAGGTCTATAGTGGGGTATCCTTGTTTTGGGAAACTGCCACATGGGGGGGCCGAGAGATCCTTTCAGAAACATGGGGGTTAATTAGAAGGAGATCGTCAAAGGCGATTTAGGATTGGTTTCGAGAAGAATCCCACGGGGGATTTCTCCAAAAAGGAGTAGCCCGGGAGGGCCACACAAGCTACGTACTAGTACCATGGTCACCGATGTAAAGACCCTCATGCATGAGGGACCCATGACTTTTCCCGTATAAACAAGTGGCTGCCTGGCAAGTGGGATCGTAATGGTGGTTATACTCGTGGTTTGGGGTTTCGGTCACCTTGTGTAGGACTTAACGGCATGAGGCTTACAGGGAGAGACAACATTTAGAGCATTTGCCAAACATGTGGTCCCTGTCTGCAGGGTTTTCTATGAAGGATCCGTGTTTTAGGGTGGATGAGTCCTCTCATCCTGTTGCTCCGTGAAAGATTCAGACTCATCCTGTTCTGCTCCCAATTCCTTGCTTGCGATTCCGTCTTTGGAATCTCAAACTTGGAGCCTGGCTTCATCTGGTGGGACTATGAAGGGTTTAGGGTTTAAGGTTTAGGGTTTAGGGCATCCGAATACTTGAGCAGCAGTTTTCAAGGGCACTTGAAATTAGAGCTCTCCGGACCCTCAGTGCTCTGAACGCCCTGAACGCTCGTTACAAACACCCGTTTCGCGCATTCCTGCCCTGAACCCAGAAGTCCAAACCCAATCCAAAAAAACTTCGCGAGCTAGGCTCAACTTTATGTCCCAAGTCTACCTGGGGTTTATGGATCGCTGGGGGTAACATGGTTAATGTTAGAATCAAATGGAAAAGAAAATGGAAAATGAAATGGAAACTGGGGTTATATAGGGTCGAAGAACCGACAGCTCTCAGCTTTCACCTGAGTGCACCAGGAGCTTGGTGACAGGCTGAACAAAGCACGCGCGATGCGGGCAGCCGGACGTTGTCAATTGGCCAGGACGCCTACTTGAAGACTGTCTCAAACTTCTATGTGACTTCCAGAAATTAGGGGCTCATTTTGGGCTTACCCACAGGAAGGTCGATTGTGATTGTTTGGATATTGGTCCCCCCTGTTTTCTGGAAGCCGCCTTATGCGGGCGATTTAGAAGGTTATGAATAGTGAAGAGCGGGTACTGTAATCAGATGGACAAGGGCTTCTTATATTCGTATAGCCCCGACTCAACAAAAAAGACGCCAAGTCCTCTAGTTGTTCCGGAGTCCGGGTCAGAGAGGTAGTAGACGCGCAGGAATGATGAAGAAGTTGGCTGACTCTGGCCGAGCACCAATAAGGGTACTACAAAGGAACATGAGGTCTGAAGGTAGTCTCGGAGCTGTGCCCATTTTTGCAGTTCATGAAGTCACACAAAGTAATGTAAGTAATGTTGGGGCAGTATTCAAATCAAACTCGTTGAGACCACCCCAAATTGGGTCTCATGGGTCTTACGCGGGAACCGTTTTGAACTTTCGGCGGGGTCGCGCTGCCCCTGCCTGCAGAGAAGACCCAGGGGACCCCAATATAGACCCCAATATATTGTAATCCTTAGTATGAGGACCCCGAAAATGGTATTCTTAATTTGAGGATATCCCAACTTGTGTCAAATCCAGCCACCACCTTTGGTGGTACGCCAGCAAATCTGCAGTGGGCTTGCATGCGCCGCATTGCCAATCTTTCCGTTGTGCGACACTTTCTCAGCATATGGGTCCAAGCACCTTTGTGCAGAACGTAGCAGGCTGTCAGCGCGATGGCCTTAGCCAACATGGCTCGAGTGTTCCTTCTCCTGGTATGGCTTCCAGTGCTTTCAAGCAGTGCGAAGATCACAGTCAGGCAGAATGACATCAAAGCAGAAAATCTAGAGCGGCCTGCCGACGGGGTGGTCGTGCGGGTTGTGGACCCTGAGCCGGCACCCAAGAAGAAAACCCAAACATCTGAGCACGAGGTTGGAAAGGCAGCCTCAGCAGATGACGGCGTGGTTGTGCGAATCATCAGTCCCCCTCAAGAGAACAAGGCCCCGTCCAAGTCGCATGAGTCATCCACGCACAAAGCTGAGAAGGCAGCATCGTCCAGTGAAGGTCACGCCGATCATGCAAGTGATGGTCATGCCGAAGACCATGGCAAGGGTGAGAAGAAAGAGCAAGGACATGAAGAGCACGCGCATGGAGAGGACGCCGCAGGTCATGAAACAAAGGCTCACAGCGAGCACGGACATGATGATGAAGCGCATGGCCACGAAGAGCATGGTCATGAAGCAAAGGCTCACGGTGAACACGGACATGCGGACGAAGAGCATGGTCATGAAGCGAAGGCTCATGATGAGCACGGGCATGGGGACGACGAGCATGCCCACAGTGAGCATGGCCATGAGGCAACGGCTCACGGTGAGCACGGTCATGGCGAGGGTGCCCATGCCCACGAGGGCACCTCGCATGGAGGACATGATCATGCAGAGTCGGATGGACATGGGCACGGGCACTCTGCGCACGGTGGACATGGCCATGGGGAGGCTGGGTCCATATTAGGGATCTTCCCCTCTGGGGTGCAACATGATGCAGCTATTGCTCAACAATGTGTTTCGTTTATGTTTTGTTGATAGTTTGGGGGTAACTGCCACCGTATATAGCCATGATGAGGATCATTTTTCTTCCTAGTGGCATAGCGACTGATGAGGAGGCTCACGCCCATGGCGGGCATGGCCACCACGCCCCGGATGATAAAACATTGACTGCATCCTACATGTTGATTGGCGGCGTTACGCTCGTCATGGCTATGTTCTACTTGGTGCAGCATCCGGATCTTGACATCAGGTACTACAGCTGGAACATCCTTACCCTCTCCGCTTGCATCTTCATTGCTGTTCTGGCTTCTGATGTCGTGAACCAGGTCGCTAAGCGGTTCTTGTTCTCACACATCGCCATCGGTGGCTCCTAGGTCTGGCTTGAACATGTTTCTTGAAATTTGACATGGTTTGGTATTTGCACTGGAAAGTTGTCATGGTTTAGCGTTTCCTGTGTGCCGTGTCCGGGAACCCATTGTTCATAAACGCGTTTGGGGACCTCTATAGTGCCAGCCAGCTAGGTTTTGTGACATATTAGCCCAATATAACAGACACCGCCGTGAACGGTCGCGTTACTTTTCTTGGTCTCCAGCAAGAACAGGCTGGGGCAACGCTGGGCTTTGCATCGCTTTGGCTATCATGTGGCTGGGCCGTGACCGAGTGTTCAGCAAGCTAAGCTTCGCTGAAAAGAGACGGAAGCGAAATCTCAGGGTGTTAGGCTTAGTGAGACTCTGGACTGATTAATTGTGACAGTATGGGAGGAACCCTGAGCACTACTCTCGAAACCCTACACCCCAAACCTCAAATCCCTCAACCCCGCATCTCCCTACAAACGCCTAAGCACTCAGGTGAGCCATGGTCTAAACTCTACACACCTTAAAGGTGGGTTATATAAGGAATTATATAGGGGAGTTTTATAGGGGTTGGTAGGGGGGATACTAGGAGATTAGACTATATCTCAGGTGGTTCCTTGCGTCGCAGCTCGTGACCGCAGCTTTGAGCGGTGCCTTTGGGGAGGAGGCAAAGGAACCCAAGGATGCCTCGAGTGAGGAGGAGCCTGTTGGGGGGGGTCGTCTTTAAAAGGTTATAAGAGCCATAGTCTAAACTCCCTGAAAGGGGTTATATAGGGACTACTATAGGGGATATTAAGGGGGATACTAGGAGTTTAGACTATATAGCTCATATGTGGATAATGGAAAAGAAAATGGGAACTACTATAATGGCTTATATAGGGGTTATAGGGTTATATGAGCAATGGTCAATACTCGCGGATTAAGCACGAAGAGAAGGAATGCCGTGAGATGTAGGAATCGCACAAAAAGCCGCAAAAGCGATAGGA